CAACAGATTTCTGCCTTTATGGACCTTTAGCCTAATTAGTTTGGTGAATTAGTGCAACGGCTGGAATGCAGAGTGCAGCAGGCCCCAGTTCTGGGGATGGAGACGCATGAGGCCCCATAGATCATGAAGAGGGACCGGTCCTACGGCTGGTCAGGGACACTCAAGAAAGGCTACTGTAAGAAGGCTGCAGAAAAGCTACTGCCATCTTTTGACCATAGATTTTCAACTTTGAGCCTTGTAAAATTATATTTATACCAGAAAGATTTTGTAATACCAAACCCAGTGAACACAATATATCGCATCATTTACACTTTGGGACTTGAAAAAGAGAAAGAAAATTTTAAAGTGGTTCTGAGTAGCTCTTTTCCACATCCAGAGAGGAGGGGGAAATAACTGAAAATGGAAAATATCATTAAGCAGTGACAGGAGCGATCAGGTCAAATACAAAGAAAAACTTTCAGGTCTTCTTAAAACAGCTGTACTGGCCCAATCAGACTCACCCACTTGTATAACAAATATTTGTTACCATCTCATAGATAATATAACCTACAGGCATAGTTGTAAAAGTTCAATATACTGTTCTAACTACAAAATGAAGAATATTTTTTAAAGTAATTTATAACAAACTAGATATTTCAGGTATGTGAACATCTGGCTGTGACTTCACAAAAATACACAATGGAATGGATAGATGCACAAAATAAGTTTATGTTTAGAAAAATAAGGCATTTGGTGAATTATCAACATACTTTTTTAAAACTTGAACCTTTAAAATAAAGGATAAATGTGTTTATAGGTTTGCATGGAGTCACTGTAATCAACAGCCGTCATTGTAGTGGACACTCAAGTACTACAAACCTCTCCGTTGGTGATGTAATTTCCTGAAATGGAGCACACCACTTGTTAAAGTTGCAAACTAAGCACAATGTTTAAAACCATGCAAAAAGTATTCAGAATATGCAGTGTGTATATGTTAAAAGAGAGTTAGGTCCTAGGCCTAGAAATGTATAAACAGAGTTTAAAACAAATCTACGTGAATGTCCATTGGAACAGGTGAATGTCGTGAGAGACATATGACAATGCTGCATTGTGCAGGAGCGTCCACACGTTGCTGGATGTCTAGAATTCCTGCTTTCTGCTCAGGAAACACCTGTAACCCCTCCAGACCTCCCTCACCCACCTCTCCACTTCTGGTCACTGTGACAACTAATGACTCCACAGAAAAGCACAACAGCCTCTGAGGGCATAGTGCAGCCCCCGTTAAGAAATCCCACACTAGAAGCTTGGTAGCCTCCCCAGTGAAGTCGGCGTGAGTCTGTGTACGAGGTGTGAGTGCCGTGTCTGTGCTCTTGTTTGGGGAATGATGGAACAGGAGGGACTAAGTCACAAATAAACTTCCTTCTCTATGTTTCTCCACTCTTACTTTAAAATTTTTTAATTTACTTTATATTTTTAATCAAATGTTTTAAAAGTCAAGTAGTACATAACAGTTACCTGCTGCACACTTCCCCACCAAACCCTCTCGCCAAAGGCATATACTTTCAAATATTCCTCCAGTATTTTACATCCATAATTCTAAATAATGTGCTTTTCTCCCCCTAGGGTTTGATTTTTAAAACATGATGTTTTAATTATATATAATAATATACATTATAATATTAAAATATTTTGTAATTATAAATAATCTATTAGATTTCAAATAGGAAATATAAACTTTCACATAATATGTACAGCATATATTAAAATTAAGCTTTTTTCATGTGGTGGTTTAGAATTTACAAGTGAGTTTGCACAGGCATCATTTTATGTGATCCTCACAGAAGTCTTGAGAGGAATGTTGTTAGTGTCATTGTCATTTAAAACATGGGAAATTGGAACACAGATAAGTAACATGCCCAAGATCACATGACTATAAAATAGCAAAGACACAATCAGAGCCCAGAATCTTTGCTCTGAAAATACTGTTGTTTTCAACCTTACTTCAATAGTGAAAATATCTATGGGACTATTCTGCTCAAAGTCCTTTTTGGTGAAAACTTCTTCAAGGCCTACTTCCAATGGCACCTTCTTCCTGAAACTTTGGCTGTCCCTCCCAAGGCAGATCTTTTCTCTGTGTGTCCCCAGTAGTTTGTCCGTGTGCTCATCACAATGAACCGTAAGTTGTTCTCTTCAGACTGCCTGAGTTGGATCAAGGGCTCATCAAAGCCCTGGCCAGGTTCTACTTTCTCTTTCCATCCCTAGAGCAAGGCAGGTCATCAGGCACATGGAAGGTGCTAGTCTCCCGGGACAGTGAAGAGGCATCTCTGTGCTGGGACCTGTGCTAAGTGCCGGGGTGCACAGGTGACTAGACAGAACACATTCCCTGGTGTCCAAGCCTCCAGTTTGGTAAAGACGTGAATGCATGAGGGTTGCTCTCCAAAATGGATAGAGGAGCAATGACTTCAGGAGGAAAGCTGCCCAGAGACTAAAGTCCTCTCAGATTTGGCTTGCTTTGCACCTTAAAACTTAAAGGATTAGCCAAAACAGATTGAAAGAGGTACACATGGAAGACAAACTAGATTCATAAGGTAATGAAGATCTTGAGAAGGGAACGGAATTGACAAAAGAGGAAGCCAGTAAGGGTATTTCTTACAAGAACAAAGGTGGAAAATGATTTTCCGTAAATGGAAGTGATTTATAAGTAAGGCCAAAAGGAGTTTATATTAGTGGTGATGGGAAATTGTAAACGTGTGGATGGATATTTTATCTGGAAGAATGTTGAATAGCTTTAAAAACAGAGAAACTAGTCTTGGTTTTCGAGGTGGTCATGGAGAAAAGAGGAACAATTTAAAAGCCTTCGGGGCAATATGGTAAGAGAGAAAGAGTAAGATTTACCAATAAATTAGTAAAGGATATGAAGTTGAAGGGAGTTTATACAGTTATCAAATCAAGTGCTATTGAAAAATCATGAAGAAAAAGAGTAGACAGCTTTAATGGGGGGTAACTTTCATTGTCCAGTTGAGTAAGAATTAATGGCAATGAGCTCCTATTAGAAATTACAGTACATAGCATGCAGGTTGTGTCCTTAAATGCCACCAGAAGGTAGTTGAGTTGCCAATCTTGCATTTCTTTCCTTTTTCAGCCTAAGAAGAAAAATACCTTCATGAACTCTGGTGAATAACCACAATTATAAATACCTAAGTATAATATATAATTATAACCACAGTTATAAATAAATAACTGTAAAGAGGTAGCCTATTCTTGAAACCAAGGAATAGTTTCTTGGTTTTTATCACCTGCCACACAGACACCCTCCAAATGTTGTATGTGCCAAGACCAGTACCTCCTCCCAGCATCTCCTTCCCATGAAGAGAGTAGATTTGATATCTACTATTGGATTACAAATTGGGAGAGAAGTAAAACTGTTCATTCATAGACAACAGGATCCTATATAGAGAAAAGCTTAAGAACCACATGCAGAAAACTATTAGAACTAAAAAATAAATTCAACAAGATCTTAGGATACAGGACTAATAGACAAAAATCAGTTGTATTTCTATATATAGCAGGGAACCGTCCTAAATGTTCTAAAACTGGATTTTAGCAATGGCTGCAAAACTGGGTAAATTTATTTTAAAATCATTGAATTGTACACTTAAAATGAGTCTGTTTCATGGTATGTAAATTACACCTCAATAAAGTTTTTTTAATTGGGAGATGTCAAAAAGTGATAAAAGACATTTTTTTCAACAAAAGGAGGATTTTATTTATTACTTATTCCTAACCCCTATGTCGTAACCTCCGGCATCAAAAACTCTAACCCTGAGCAGCAGAGCCTAAGGTGGGAAATTCTAGGCCTTATCTGGAGTAGAAGTCGAGATGTGTGACTACCAGTGTCTTAAATCTCAGCACTGACACCAGCGGGCAGGACTTTGACAGTCAGCTTGTACCGAGGTTTATCTGGAAGAGCACTGAGGAGCCTGGCCACAAAGGGACAGATTGAGGCGAAGTGAGACGTCAAGTCAGGTCGTCAAGGACAGTTCTGGGTGGGGAGGCGGGGGTTGGGCTCAGGATCCTTGTTGCCTAGGATTGGGTGGGTCACAGCCTTATGGGACAAGAGGCACTGGCTGTTTGGAAGGAAACCTTACCTCTTTGAATTCCAAGAGCCAGTCACTTCTTCGGACCAGAATGGAGGTCCTGGCTTTGATAACCCAGAGTAAACAGAACACGTAGAACTCTCAGCACTCAACTCTCAACAGCTCTCAACATCTTTGCAGACAGGTAAAAACACGATCATCATTGCAAAAATTTCAATGGCTCGATTCACACCAATGGCCCTCTGGCTTTGGCTTTTCAAGGCCCTACACACTTATAATTCAAATCACATTTGTAAACATAAAACATTCCCAGTTACAGCTATAAGGATATTTAATACTTGCATGAATAATTTGTATTTCCTGTCTTGAAATATGAAAACCATCAGTGGAGTGAATTTAACTTCTGGGCTCAGAAGCGAAGTTTTCAGATAGATTTTCCCCATGCTTTGTGAGTGAAATAAACAGGTGCTCAACAGGAAAAATAAGGGGTTTTTTTGGTTTTTTTTAGTGCAATGATGCAACCCATGAACTGATTCTGGGGCATTCTGCCTGTAGCTGTTTTTATTTCAGTTTTGGTTTGTTAGTTTTCAAATTTATTATTTTTGAGAACTATTGGAAAACACAGCACTCTGTTGTTATCCACCATATTTTGGGAATACTGCGTCAGCCAAATATTCCGGTTCAAAGAGAGTTGACTATTTGTAAAGAATAATAATAACGGACATAATAATAGCTACATACACATACTAGGCCTTGACACAAATTTGTCCTACTATTCTGCAAAGAAGTTTAAGAGAGGAAACTAAAGCAACTTGCCTGTGGTCACATGAGGCAGCTGAATAGATCTGCAGTGCCAGAAACTGTGCTAAGCATTTTATGCACATTATAAGCTTTACTCTTCATAATAAATCTAAGAAGAAACTATTATTCTAATTTCATAGATGGGGTTTCAAACAGGGATTTAGGAATAATCCTTGTCCCAGATTGATAATTAAAGTTGTACCAACGACTCTCATCAGATTTACCTGGTTTCTCTCCTCTGTGGCATCCAGCAGGCCTTTGATGATAGAGGGTGTGTCTCAAGTTCTGCAAGGGCGTCACTGTGAAAATGAATTATTGTAATTTCCAGAAAAAGCTGGTTAAATAAACTGACTTTTGTCAAAAAAAAAAATCATTTTCCTCATTGTAACAAACATCTGCCACTCCCAAAAAGATGCCACCCAATTTTCATTAATGGCACGGAGTTGTGGAAATTCCTCATACATGGCAAGGTAATTGCCACTTTAGATTCAAAATATGGGCTCAATAAGAGGAACAGCAAGAGGAGATGATTCTTGTGGCTCCGATACAAAGCATGCACTAAAAAGGTAATTTATAAGAAAGGCAGACTGAATAAATTTGAGGATGAAATAACAAATGTTAAATTAGGCTTTTTAATTTAAATGAGGGAAGTGTCAGAGTGACCAAATACAACTTTGTTTTGTTTCAAATTTTCTTCTTTTGTGTTAGCATTTGCTTTAGAATGGCCAGTTATTCATCTTTATTGGCTTCTGAAATAAATAAATTGATTTAAAAAGAGAGCTTTAATAAAATATCTCTGTTCCTGATACATTTGTGTCTCCATTTACAATGTTTTTTTCCACAGGGTCCAAGAGCTAAAGAGTAATTTGGGGTTGTGGCCTTTCAGAACCAGGCAAATTATCACTGTAATGGGGTCAGCAGAGGGCCAAATTGCTTTTCCTGAATTAGCATGTGAAAGGAATGTGGGCAAATTAACTGTGTATGACTGAACTCTATTTTATTTGCTACTGGGCGACATACTGCTAGAGCCAGATTCATCTCCAAAACTGGAACTCTTGGGGGGATCCTGTACAGGTTCGTTTCACTTTCTGGTCTTTAGTCTGCACAATAATAAAACTCACAGGTATTTAGTGAGTTTTTCACTACATGCCAGGTTTTAGTGCTTTTCAGCTATTATTTTGTTCTCAAAATAAGCCTATGAGATAACTGATTCATCAAGATGCACCACAGAACCAAAGGAAGCATTCCACGTATTTTAAGCAAGGTGGAATTTAGTACAGGGAATTGGGTGTTTACAACATTGTTAGACGGGCTGGAGGAGTAAGTTCTAGACCCAGCCTCCAGAAGTAATTCCCAGAGAAATACAGGACTGGCCCACCAAGAGAGCAACTACCTTCAAAGTCTCTGAAGCTTGTAAATTCACAAATGTGTCCCAGAACAGGAAACTGGCTTCAAGAAGCTGCTTCTACTGCTATAGCCTTTGACACTGAGGAAACTGGAGAAGACACGGGGACTCTGCTGCAGATGAAATCCCACATCTCCAGGATCTTTGCATGCCAGTGAAAAAAGGCCAAGTGAGATGAAAGGATAGCCTCATGTTTGCCTTCCAAATTTTAAGCAAATCCATCTAAATTACAGGACCTAAATAAATTATGTCCAAACCCGTAGCTGCAAAGGGAATGGGAAATGCAGATTTTTAGCTTTTCAACTTCTACAGGAGAGAATGGATATAAGGAGGGAGGTGGGATGTAAGATAAGCAAGGCAATCCACATTATTTATCCCATGTGGGTGCTGTATTGCAGTCTTCATGCCCCCTTTTGATAGATAAGGAAACTGAGGCCTAGAGAATTAAGTAAATAGCCCAAGGTCACACTAAGGTGTTCTACTCTAGAACCTGTGCTCTTAACCACTGGGCTTTACTCCCTTCCTACAGCCAGGTTGTGGTGCTTTGTCCACATAAGCTAAATTAAAGTCCCCAGCAGCATTATTCACCAAAGGTGAAAATTTCCCAATGATAAAAAAATTCCAACAAGGTCAATCAGGAAAGAGCCAAAGCCATGGTACACTATTGGATTCTCCCAAATTTATAATACTAACAAAAATCCACTTAATCAGCTAGATCCAGCAAAGCTCTTGAATTTTACGTTTTCAGAACCTCTGACTATTGATTCAGGCACTATTAGGTGCTACTGAGATGGCATTTCAGCCTGGAGAACCAGGAATATCCAGGGATCCAACCCCAGATAAGTCCCCATTAATCACTAAATTCAAACCCAAATCTTAGAATTTACTGCTAAAATGTGGGGAGGAGCCTCTTCCGGAGAGGTGGAATCAGACCTCCAGAAAACAATAGAAATGTCTTTCATTCCCTAGCCCAGAGCTGATGTGGCTGAGATATTCCCAAGTGTTCACTAAGCCCATTCCCCCTCCGCCCCTTTGCAGTTAGGTTGGAACCATGTGAGTTCTGGCCAGTGGAAGGTGGGAAGTAGTGACATACAGTATGTGCAGGCCTGGCCAACCCTTCTCGTTGGCCATGCTATATGTTCACACTGGTGGTGTGACAAGATAGAAGGAGCCTGAGCTCCTCTTGAATGACTGTCAAACCACATTAGACTGTGATGTGAGCAATACATTTTTATTGAATTAAGCCATAAAAGTCTGGGTCTGCTTGTTACAGCAGTCAGGCTGACTAATACAGCTGACCTGGACCTGCTGCTGCAGATCTGCTTAAGAAAGGCAGGCCAAGTTAGACTTGTAACAGAGTATGAAAACAAGCATTACTCTCTGGATAGCCTCAATTTAATGAAATTTTAACCTACCTTCTAATCAACATTAGACTCTTTCTACAAAAATTCATTTAAGAGTTGCCATTCCCTTTGCTTTGCTTCTGCTTCTCAGACCAGGACAGCAAAGCTGGACAGTGCTGGAGAACAGAAAAAAAGAGCTAAATGGAGTCAGAAAAAAGGGACTCTACCTGAAATTGCTGGACCTTTAAACTCCTTTGATAGTTCCATCCCTGGAAAACAGCAGTCCCTTCCATTCACTGATCAGATCTCTGGGATCAGCCCTCCTCTGCCTGGGGTGGGAGTGAGCAGCACAGAAGGACAGCAGGGCGAGAGCAGGCTTCTGCTGACTCTTCTGTGCACTGAAAACATATGAAGAGGCTAAACCAGATTTCACCTCTCTAAGAAGAAAACTCTAAAGCTCTTTAAGAGTACCACTTATATACAGTAGCAAATATATTCATTGTAGATCGCTTTTAGCTGTTCATTAGACAAAATCCCCTGGGGATCTTTTATGTCAATGCTTTGGAAATTAGTCTTTGTTACATTATGTAATTAAAAACAATAAAGCTAAGTGCCTGTTATACTCTTTTGTAATTTGAAACAGGGATTCCCAACCTCAGGTCCTATCTCCAGGCCCCTCAATGGCCTCAGAGGTAATGATGGGAATCTATGCAATATTTTCATAATATCAGAAAACCTTACAGAAGCAGGACATTGAACTTAAAGTTGAATGAGCTAACTAAAATGCCAAGTTTCAGGGGGTTTTTAACAGATCACATCGGCTGAGTAGAGTAATTATCTCAGAAGATAACTGATTGATAATTGATTATTTCATGCCATTTGGACATTCTGGATAACAGTCATTTAATGTATTTGATTAATATAAATGGGTTATTCTTAGCAGTTTAAGAATCTAGCCAAAAAATGCAAACAACCCAAATGTCTATCAACTAATAAATGGATAGATAAAATACGGTATAGCCATACAACGACACATTATTCAGCCACAAAAAGAATGAAATACTTACACATACTACAACATGGACACGGCTTAAAAATGATCATGCTTAGTGAAAGAAGCCAGTCACAAAAGATCATGTAATATATGATTTCATATATATGAAATGTCCATCAGACGCAAATCTGTAGAGGCAGAAGTTGATTAGTGGTTACCTAGGGCTGAGATGGAGAATGAAGAGTGGCTATTAACAGATTTCTTTTTGGAGTGGTGAAAATTAGGTGATGGTGATTGCTGCACAACTCTTTATATATACTAAAAACTCTTGAATTGTACATTTGAACGGGTGAATTTTATGGTATGTAAACTGCATTTCTGAAAGCTGTTAAAGTTTTTCAGAAGCATAAGTTGAGCTCCATAATTTCCCATTTGACTTTACCCCAGATTTGCCTGAATTAATGAAATCTTATGGCCTGGGAATAAAGTGGGGTTCTTGAGAAACAACAACGAAAGGAAACAATAACTATGTCATCTCTCAGGGGACAATGCTAAAGCCTCAGGCCTCTCTCCCCACTTACACTGGGTCTTCTCCTTACTCGTGGCAGGAAGCTATGAGATAAGACTGTGGCCCAGGAGAAGCTCTTTCTCCCAGTGCTCTGTTCCCATAGGAGACTCAGGCTTTACACATTTTCAATTCCATGCAGGGATTAAGGCCTATGGCCTTTCAACCACACCATGGCCAATCTTCCTCTGGCAGTTTTCCCTTTTCCCTTTGCAGCCAATTGTACCTGGCACTAGATCTGCACACATGACACTTTTTTCCTTTTACCCTTCGAGGCATTTACCAAATTTTTACAAAAGTCATCAAAAGACACAAAAGCATTCTCCTAATTATAAATCGTAAGTCAATTATGAAAATTTCAAAAAATACATAAAAGTGAAAATAAGAAAATACAACTACTACCTCAGTACTAACCTTTGTTAACATTTTGGCATTTTTTTCCTAATATATATGTATATACATATTTTTTTACCCATTTGATATCACACGGTAAATTTATTTTTTCAGACTATAGGAATCATGTAACTAGTCTCCTTGTTGGCAGTAGCTGCTAAAAAGCCTAGAGACAAAAGCACAAAGCCTTAAAGCATTCATGTTCTGGAGAAAACTCGCTCCTAGCTTAATTTTATGTTTTTCTTTCAGATTTCTTCTGTCCTACTTTTCATGTTCTTATTTCTATATTTAATCTTGTTTTATTATATGAATTTCTATAAACCACTTTAAAGGCTTTCCAAGATAATTTTTTTCATCACAACCATTTTTAAGTGTACAGCTCAGTATTATTAAGTATATTCACATAGTAATCTTGCAAAACTGAAACTCTATTCCCATTAATATCAACTCCCATTTCCCCCTTCCTCTCCCTCCTGGTAATTACCATTCTGCTTTCTGTTTCTATGAATTTGACTACTTTAAATACCGCATATAATGGTATCATAGCAATATTTGTCTTTTTGTGACTGGCTTATTTCACTTCGCATAATGTCTTCAAGGTTCATCCATGCTGTAGCTTTTTTGTTAACTTTTAAGTTTGTTTCCCAATTCTGCTCCTCCTTTTTGGGATGCTCAACAACCAGTACTGAAAGGTGGATTTTGGGAGCCCAGGATGGGATGGAGAGCCTACTGTGGGATGTACCAAATAGGAAGCAACCATGAGACCAGTTTTAGACAAAGTTTTTAAGGACAGACGGTGAGACTGAGAGTCATTTTCCGAGGGGATATAGGACAGGCCTGAAGGGCCTGAAGTGGGTTGGACTTAGAGTGTAGACCTGTGGTTTAAATGAGGCTAGTATCACAGCTGGGGGACAATTGGCAAGGCAGGAGATTTTGGGTTGTCACAATGATTGGGAGGGTACCTGGCGTTTAGTGAGCAGGGTGAGCGATGCTAGAGACATTGCATGGCTTGAGACTATTCCCTAAAACAATTTTCCAGCCCCTAAAGTCAATATATCTCCCACTGGCACACACTGGGCTGGCTTATGTTGATGAATCTAGACTCCAAGGGCTACCGTGTATTCTGTTCCTTTAACCATTAAGGACCATAGAAATGTGGACATTCAGTGAGTGAATAACTTTAAAGTACCTAAATGTGGACCACTGAATGTTGAAGACCTTTTAAAAACATACACTCCAATAATAATGAGTTGAGAATAAAAAGAGAAAATGTGTATTTATTAAAAGCCTGTTATATACCACAAACTTTGTGTCTTAGTTTCCTATGGCTGCTGTAACAAATTACCACAAACTGGGTGGCTTAAAACAGAAATGAATTCCCTCCGAGTTCTGGAGGCCAGGCATCTAAAATCAAGATGCCAGCACTTGGAGAAGCCGCATTGCCTCCAAAGGCTCAACCATTCCCTGCCTCTTCCAGCTTCTGATAGCTGCAGGCACTTCTGGACTGGGGCTGCTTCCCTCCAACCTCTGCCTTCAATGACCTCTTCTGTCTGCCTAGTGTCCCTCAGTCTCACTCTCATAAGGACACTTCTCATTGGATTTAGGGCCCAATTGGCCAAACCAGGACGATCTCCTCATCTCAAGATTCTTAATTTATATAGCCAAGACCCTTTTTCCAAATAAGGTAACATTCACAGACTGGGGATTAGAACATGCATATATATTTGGGGTGGGGGTGGAGGTGGGGACACACCATTCAGTCCACTACACTTTACTTCCAGAATCTTGTCAAATTGTACACCAATCTTGTCCAGTCTTGTGACAGGGGCATCATTATTCCTTGTTTAGAAGTGAATAAATGGAAATTTAGAAAA